GCGCGTAAAGAATAGCATAAGGCGCTCAAATCAAAATTGTACGCTGAGCAGCCAGTTTCCACGTCTAGGTGCAGTCTGTGTTACAGACATGACCAATTTTTGACGCGCAGATGTTGTCGAAACCGCTTCACCAAACATGAAGAGTTATCCTACCACAGGTGGTGGAATGTCCTCGTGCATTCCCGCAATGATTGCACACGTCATACCAATTGCATCAGGAATCATCTCCAAATATGGTGATTGCAAAAGTGCTTGAATAATTCACATTGACATCAAAATTCCTCTGACTGTAGAGCTTTACCATTGTTTAGATACTGAAGGAGGTAATAGACCAAGAAGCAAAGAGTACAAAGCGTTGGGCTGGGCTTGTCGCCTTCTATGCTTCTGCCAAGTATGGCAGTATGAGGCTCTGAAATCCATCGGGAATCTCAAGCAAAAGACTTACTGAGTGCTAACGTACCTTTTTCACATTGCTGTGCGGCTTCAGTCAAAAATGAATGCACTTTTTGGAACTGCGGTTTCATTGCAGAAGTTATATTGCGCGTGGGCACGCGCATCAATGACTTCACTATCTGAAATTCAACTCTAGTGATGCGAATTTCATGAGGAAGTTCAGCAATTTACCTCACAATGTGACAATTGCTTACACTGTGGAATTTTCATGCAGTGAGCAACAGGATTTTTGTCGGTAGTATTACTAATTCCTAAATTAAAACATACATAAAAGCCCCAAAAGTTGAAAAAAGCTCAAAAGCGCCAGAAAGCGCCAAAACGTCCTCTTTCGCGCGCAAGTATAAAGTACGTATTTTGCTTCATTTTCTGTCGTCTGCACTTCAACTTAATGCAGAATTCTACCAAAAATTCTAAGCCGGATGGATAGAAATGCGCAGCCATGCTCGTGAGCACCCTTGGCATCAATTCTTCGAAAAAAAAAGGTTGAAGTAGACAAAGAGCTAGACAGAATGAATCAAATACAGATTCAGGCTTAGAATTTTTGGTAGAATCCTGCCTTGAAGTGCAGACGAAAATACAAAGACGCAATAGTAGGGCTGCATGGCTACCATGCAGATTCCTAGAAAATACTGTAGATAAGTTATGTTGAACTCTTTTTCATCCGGCTTGAAACTTTCCCATTCTGACATTATCTTGATGTGAAGACGACCTAAAATGAAGTAGAATACTATTAGGTTGCCCGAAAGTAATGTCGTTTCATTTTTAAAA